TCACAAATTATTTGAGTCTACATACAAAGAAGATTAATCAAATGGAAGAGGAGACTGTGAGGATGGAGACAGGGAGACATCAGGATGTCCTGAAAGATAACGTAGCTGTTGAAACTGCTGGTTTTCTCCCATCACTGCTTTGTACTGATGCTGCTTAATAATACCAGTGAAGAGGTGACTGTCAATTCTATATAAAGACACTCACTTGTTTTTTGTTTGTTTTGTTTTTTTTACTTGTCTTATCTATTTATACTTGAAGTAATGATAGTACTGAACTGTTTTATACTTCTTGTGCTTTTATCCAATTCATCACTGGATTTTCAACTCTTTGCAGTGAATACACCACGACGTCTCATCATCTGGCGATTACGTTTCACCAAACTAATCCCTCTTAAATAATTACTCTTAAAACTTAAATATTATTAATTAATGGTAACCATCTACGTGGCTATAAATTATTTACTTTTTATTTCACAGTGGCAAATACGAATCCAGGTACAGGTTCAAATAAAAATCCCAGCTTCATTATTCATTAGTAAAATCTTCGGCTACGAATACTTCCGCGATCCTCAGTCTGTCTCGTGTTACTCGTAAATATTCATCGGGTTCAGGAGTAAAACAATCGCTGGAATGTGTACAAATTAAACATTAAATCCTACGATTCCCTTCATCTTCCTTCAAACTCTCTGTTTTATTGTCTCTGTCTAAACGAAGATGAGTCTTGTAAAAGATCAGTAAAATATCTTCAGTTTGTCGACAAAAGTCACGAGAATCGTCAGTGTGGGATGGACTTTGGCTCTTTCTTCCCCAAGTTTTCTTCTTGTTACGCCCACATCACAACCGAAAGCTTAACGCATTTTAGCTGTTTCTGTTAGATTTGTATAGTACTTTAGTGAAATAAAGCCTACAAATGTATTACGGAGCAGCGTGTTAGGATGTGATATCATGCTGTCTGCGTTGCTTATCTTCGGTAAGTACTGCAACATTTTCGTGTATACGACACAGCCTTTAGCTTAAGCTAACCTTTAGCTTAGGTTGTGAGCTAACCGAGCTATTTGTCTGTCCCAGGATATTAATATTCTTGTGTTTTCCTGTAGGATATGCCGCCGTCTT